AATCTAGCATTTGTTCATGCCGTGAATATTACTGCTACATATGATCTGGTGCTCCTGCTATATATTTAGAAATCCTTAATAAAATCCAAAGAAGAACCTGTAATGCTATTGGTCATGACCTAGCATCTCGGCTGGTCAGTTTTCCATCGCCATAATGTAGCTTTTCTGTACTATTTCCATAAATACCTTCATGGTAATTGTTCTGATAAACTTTCCTCTATGGTAACTAGACTTTATGAATTTGAGCGCTATACTTGATTGGCGGTAAGGTCTCATCATTTTACAGTTGAAATGGCTAGATGCAACCGTAAGTTCTATGCTAATAGTTTCTTCTCTAACACTTCTCGCTTATCCGTCTGGCTTCTTGTTTTCCAGTCAAGTATAATCATTATAAAGTTAAATGCAATGTCAATTGTTATCTTCTGTCTTCTTAATTCCTGTTCTTTTATTGTTCTCGATCTTTAATAATATTTTTCCTTCTATTATATTTTTTCCCAGTCTTAGTGGCTTTATTGCATCGCTGGTGGGGAATTAGTTAAAAAAAAGCATTGTTCTAATTTAATACTATTTATAAACTGATTCTGAGGTTTACATGAACATCTTTTCAAATTTATAAATAGAAATATGAATTATTTGACCGTTCCTTTCATTTTAAATTACATTTCTCTCGACATTGTAACATGTCCTTGAATTTTCAAATGTGTTACGTCTGATACTTATAAATTATATACTTTGCTCCAAACATGTCTATTATTTATGTGCTTATTATTGTTGTCTGTATTGTTTTGTAGATCGTTGATATTGTTATGATTTCGATTCTGTTTTCAACTCTGTTGTTGTTGTTGAGATGCCGTCAGAAATGATATTTTTATCATTGTTATTAGCTGTAGAGTTCTTTAGTTTCGTATCCTTCCATTACTGGCGATGAGTTTATAAAGCACAAATGCTTTTCGCGTAAACAACACAACACGCTTCACACCTCATCGCTTTTTCGCTGTTGGAATTGTAAAAAATAAATAAAAACATTTTTCGCATTCTTTAGAATCATTTATCATCGCTTCGTTCTTATTTTATTTACTGCTTTCTGATTTATTTATTTAATTCATTTTAATTAATTCTTTTTAGAGGGAAGAGGCGTAGTTGTCTGCTAACGAAAGTGAAAAAAAAAAAAAACCTTCACGCAGAATTCCCATGAGAGTTTTATGGAAAGCATTTCAATCCCGTGTGTTATTCATTGTGCATTCTTTTGGAACTAAGCGCTCTGAAAATAATTCCTTGTGTCATGCGAGGCTTGCAGCAATGAAAATAAAATTTAATCTCCATTTAGATACTCCAAAAGTCAGAAAAGTACATGCATATAGAAATTATCTATCTATCTATCTATCTATCTATCTATCTATCTATTTAGTCATATGTACAAATATGTATAAATACATATCTATTGAAAAATATTAAACCAGACTGATTTCGGTAATAACCCCCCCACACACACACACACTATGTATACGCTAAATACATATGATTCTGGATTTTTATTAATTTTTATTATTATTATCATTATTTGTTATTTCTCATTATTTTATTTTATCTATATTTCTAATATTTTATTTTTCAATTTTTTTAATTAATTTATTATTTGTGTGTGTGTGCGTGTGTGTATGCGCGGTATTTAGTGGAAAGTGCTCAATACCTGGATGTGATAGAGCTTATATTGGCGGTTACATGGATAGTAGTTTTTCTGAAGATTGCGTAAGCGTGAAACCCCAGGTTACAAACTACTCTCCATGCAACCACACACACACAAATATATATATATATATATATATATATATATATATATATATATGTGTGTGTGTGTGTGTGTGTGTGTGTGTGTGTGTGTGTGTATTACTAAATCCATTTCATTTCATTTAATCAATTCATTTTATACAAATTTATTTTTACTCTGATGAAAATGGTCTACTCATCTATCTTGCCAGTATTGACGTATTATACCAACCAGTTTTTAATTTGTACCTGATAATTGGTACGGGCATGAATGAAACTCAGGGTTACATTGAACGTTGGGGAACTAATATATCTGTACCGACACATATTCATATATACACACACGCACACATATTTATATACACACAGGCACACACACACACACATATATATATATTAGATGTTTTTAATTTCCGAATATGGTTAGCACATTGTGGCTTTGTTCGTAGTTAATATTGTTAAGAGTTGGCTTTTTCTTTTTTATTATTAGAGCTTCCATTATTTTTAGTCCTTTTTTTGCAGGTGGATGGAGTTAATATATTTGTATTTTCTACTAGTATGTTTTTAATGGAGTCTGGTAAATTTGTGTGTGTGTTTAAATGGGTTCTCTTACGTTGCACCTATCTTATCACAGCTCCATTAGAACCCTACCACACACTAAGACATACACAGAACGCACACACTCAATTAAGCTGAAAAATCGAATCATCCTTGATAATGGCTAAAGGTATAGCCGAAAGTGCTCGGAAATTTGAAACATTTGGACAGTTCTTACACACCTTTTGTCCAGAAAAGAAAGCTCTTGTTAGAACAGAAGAAAAATTAAATAAAAAGCTTAACCGTAGTACCTTGTCTGTCGTTTTTAATGAAACATGCATAAAGCAAGGATTGCTGTCTAAATATATATATATATATATATATATATATATATATATAATTTTGTATAATTTTATATATCAAGAAACAGAAACAGTATTTAGAAAAATAGTATGACAAATGGACTTGACAGAGTGAATATATTGGAGAAACGTCAAGAATTCTAAAGAAAAGGGACATTTTAAAAAGCAACACACAAAACGCATTGTTGACCGTAACAAAACTGACCACAATTTTCAAATATGAAATGCTACCATTGATTAAAAGAGAAATAATCCTCTAAACCGAAAATGTCTGCCTTGATCGATAGTCAGGCTATGGTAAATTTACCTCCAGACTCTTACAATATATCTCACCATTCTTGATAGATTTTCTGTTGTCTCAATGTCGGATAGTCAGAGACAAAGGTGATGGAGAGAAAAAAGAATACAGATGAATCTGGCTAGATTGAAAAATATTCTTTCAAAAAGAAATTATTTCAAAATTTTGAAACTACCAACATCTCTCGTTTCGTGCGCATTTGTAGATATGATAACATCAACAAAGCGCAGTTTGATGACATCCCAACACCCAACAGATGAAACACGTCACAAAAACTTTTTTTTCTAATTTGTCATACAATTTTTACAGATACACACACACGTACATACTTTGAATATACTCTTTTTAGCGCTGGAAGGCGTCGTCAGTGATGTTCTGATTTGGATCATTGGACAGTTTCTGGTCTTTCAAACATTATACTGCCCTCTACAAATCGACCCATCATATATATATATATATATATATATATATATATATATATATATATATATATATATATATATATCAGAGATAGAGCGTATGTAAATATAAAATTGGATATTGAGATCAATACTCTGTTTCATCCTTAGACGCTATCGTCAGGCCATTATATATATATATATATATATATATATATATATATATATAGAGAGAGAGAGAGAGAGAGAGAGAGAAAGAGCGAGAGTGAGAGAGAGAGGGAGACAGCAAGAGAGACTGGGAATTAATATGTCAAATTGTTGAATGTTGAAATGCTTTTTAATGTTCTTGATGACCTTTCACTTTTTAACGCGAGCATTATCAAAACATGATAAAAAAAAATTCTAATGAATTACAACGGCAACACTGCTACTTAAAAACGCTGTGATCAATTTGAATAATTTCAGCAGTTAATTACATTTAAAATAAAACATTTGAAATGAAATATAGAAACAGTAAATTCACATCAGAAAAAATAAAATGCAAAAGTTTAATCAGAAAAAATAAATTTTAAATACTTTTAAAAATATAATTTATGATAAATATCATATGGTAGATGTTAATAAAATTAATAAGATGTTAAGGGAAGTTAATTAAATTAATTTTCTTAAGATATTTAACTAATATGTATTTAAATATTATTTTAATTATTAAGCTAGAAAATGTGATATTCTATAAAAACCTACTTTTAGATGAATTGAATAAGGATATAGCAGATTCCATAATTCTTCTACAAGAATTATGAAGAATGCATTCAAGTGTTTTAGTATTTAAAACTCAAAATGATATTTAAAATGGGATGAATAAAGAATTTCATGTATCACCAATTTTTAACACGCTTCTAAATTTGTAAATACGTTTTTTTAAACTTCCTTGTATTTCAACATTATAAATGTTATCACATTTACTATATAAGGTTATATATATATATATATATATATATATATATATATATATATATATATATATATATATATATATTGAAAAAGTTTAATTAAAACGACTGACCAAAAATTACATGGAAAAATTCATTCATGGATCATTTCATTCATAACGGATTCGGAGGTTTTTGTATATTATTTGAATTGTTTGCGATGATGGATTTCTCGCCAATTAAATCATTAACCTTTGCATTAGTTTTGTGTGAATAATTCATGAATTTGTAAATATATATATATATATATATATATATATATATATATATATATATATATATATATATATATATATATATATTATCTGTGTGTGTGTAAATATACACATGCATAAGTATATATACATAGGTGCATACACATACATGTATATTTTTTGAATAAAAAATTGAAGAGGATAGAAATCAGGTAGAACTCAATGACCTGGACAGAGTAAGGATAAGCATTTTTATTACATAAATATGTATTTCCTGTATTTGGTATATATATATATATATATATATATATATATATTTATATATATTATTTATATATTATATATGCTCGGTACTTATTGGAAAGCGTTTAATATCAGTGATAGAGCTAACATATTTAGTTGCATTGATGTGAGTTTGTGATTCTGGCTTTCACGCTATTTGCGATCGCCTGCTATATATATATATATATATATATATATATATAGATAGATAGATAGATAGATAGATAGATAGATAGATAGATAATGTGTTTGGTGCATTTAACTAATATGAAGATGCAATATAAATCATCAGCGAAATAAATTTAAGTTTATAACTGAAAAATTCAAATGTAAAGTTTTCCGTTGAAATTATATATATATATATATATATATATATGTAAGCAAATGTAAATGGATATAGATCCAGGACAGAATGAAGATTTTGAAGACGATGGACATAAACAATAAGTCTTATCCAAAACAGATCTGTTTTGGATAAGACTTGTTGTTTATGTTCCATCGTCTTTGTCAAATTGAACTGAATTGTATTTTAATGAATATTGTCTTGAAAAAGGTTTATTAAACCGAAACGTCAGACGTCGACATTTCATTCATTTTAAAAACATAATTGCATTTAAGAATTTTGTTTGATTTTTTTTTCCAAATTTTATATATATATATATATATATATATATATATATATATATATATATATATATATATATATATGTGTGTGTGTGTATTTCCTGATGTTATCGGACTGGATCGAGATCAATCCCAGCGTGTGGCACATTTGGAAAGTGATTGAAAACCCTACCACGGTTTGACCCAAGCCTTATGAGCGAAATTGGGTGCACGGAACCCTTGAGGGCCGTCGATAGCTGTGGTAGCACGAAGCCACGAGTCATCGTGGCCGAGCTTTTGAGCGTACTGGCCTTGTTCATATTATTGATCACGCAGGATAACACGCTTCTATCCAAGAAACTGTAACTAATGTCAGCTCAGCATAGTTGCAGTATAAACCACAGGTGGGGTCTGGGGTGTTGAGCAAACATAAAATGTGCCTGAGCAAGCGTCAGCAATAGGGATTGGCTAGCCACCCTAGTAGACGGGTATCCTCGATTATGAATGGCCACCGTATATATATATATATATATATATATATATATATATATATATATATGTGTGTGTGTGTGTGTGTGTGTGTGTGTATCTGTGTGTGTATGTGTCTGTGTGTCGCTGTTACTTTTTATTTTGTTTATAACTTATTTTTGATGGATATATATTCGAGTAGGAGATCTGTTGTTTTTTTTAATTAAACAGTATTTTTTATCCAACTACATCTACCGGCTTGAATATTCGAGAAATCTTGTCAGAAATATATGTGTCCTCCTATATGTATACACTAGCATTTGAAATATATATATATATATATATATATATATAACAAAGATTGTTTTGCCCAAATATTTCCAATGAAAATCAGGTAGGGACAGAAAAATTAATTAATTTTGTATATATATATATATATATATATATATATATATATATATATATATATATATATATATATATGTGTGTGTGTGTGTGTGTGTGTGTGTGTGTGTGGGATCTGTGTGTGTGTATAAGCTTGTGCATGCATATTTATATTTTGCTATTTTTTTTTCTCTTAAACCTATTTCCTTCAGTCTAAATTTCAGATAATTTTTCTTGAGGCTTAAACGGTCTTTGTGGGATCTTATTGATGTTATAAGAAAAAAGTGTTTGCAAATCATGCAAGTTCATGTGGCTTCATTTCTCTCGATCTTTGACCATAGTTAAAACTGGTTGGTGCGTATCTCAGAGGAGGGTGGCTGGGAAGAACTTTACGGAATGCTGACTTTGGACTGAAAAATAAAAAAGCTTAACAAAAGAATCAAACAAGGAAAAAGAATTCTCGAAAGGCAAAAGAAGCAATTGTAACATTTTTAAGCCTCCATATTCTTTATTTTCAGATGCACTACAGCAGAAATTCTTTTTGCATTTACGTGAGCGAAGCATGGAAACATGATTTTTTCTTTTAATATTTACATTTCACCTTTTTTCGTTTGCTGAAGTAATTTCTTAAGACCAAAACCAACAAATGCTTTGCATATATTTACGTATTTTTAGGTATGCATGTATACAGACAAAATAAATAAAGCACATATATATATATATATATATATATATATATATATATATATGCACAAAAATGCATATCTATTTTTATCTATCTATCTACTCTCTCTCTCTCTATATATATATATATATATATATATATATATATATATATATATATATATATATATATATATATATTGTTTTATAAGAAACCCATATTTTTATAGCTAATCTTGTCTTTAGTATATTTTCCTGCTTTTATTTTATCCTGCCAAACTCTATCTTAGATGGACGTAATATCATAATGTGACTATCGTTCAATCCTTTTTTGTTATATTTATATATATATATATATATATATATATATATATATATATATATATATATATATATACACAGTCACTTCATATCTATCTATCTAATATAAAGGAATGGAAACAACAAAGACATAAATATGTGTATTACTTAAAAGTAATGCATGATTCGCAATGAAATTTTACCGAATAAAGATTATGGGGCGTAATGCATAAATATTATACAAAGTTACAAAATTTACATAATAGTTTTTTAAATGGAACAAAGGAAATAAGCTACTGGACAAAAGTTATGAACGATGTTAATAATTTGTATAAACTTTTAATTTACATTGTTAAAAACTATCGATGGAGCTTTTCAACAATAAGTAAAAGTTCATTTATCATTAGGACTTTATTTTAAGCAAAATGGCAAATTCTACACGCAAACGCTCTCTTAGATAGATAGATAGATAGATGTGAACGGACTGTATAGATAGATAGATAGATAGATAGATAGATAGATAGATAGATAGATATGTATGGAGTTTATTCATAGATTTATACGTAGATAGATAGATTGATATGAACGTAGTGTATTGATAGATAGATAGATAGATAGATAGATAGATAGATAGATAGATAGATAGATAGATAGATAGATAGATGTGAAGGGACAGAGTAGACAGACAGACAGATAGATAGATAGATAGATAGATAGATAGATATGAAAAAACTTCGGAGCCCGTATCTTTTTCTGCTTCCCCTACAGAAGTACCTCCTTCGGCATCGGTAAGGCAGTGGCCCCCACAAAAGGGCCAGAATATTTCAAAAATTTAAATGAAATGTTTGGTCCATATGTTAATGGAAATCACTTATTACCGGTACCGTCTCTATTGGACACGGTTAATCAAAGGACAATCTCTTCAGTAACAACGGACCCCAAGACTTGGAAACTAAATATCTTGACTAGGGAAGTTATTTAGGAGGCCCTGGAAAGGCTTCAAATTGCAGCCCAAATTCTAGCAAGAAGAAGTAGGCCAATGTCGGACATCTTATTGCCGACAGAAGTGAAAGCCAAATCGATGGCAGGCTGTATTCTAACTACTTCGACAGTCAGGCTTCAGACAGAACACATGGGGACCAGAAAAGCAAAGGTGACTCTACATAGTGTGTCACTCTTCATCTTGGTTTTTTCCTTTTCTAAATATGGTGACATGTCCGACGTCATACCTATTAAAAGTAAGTAGGGAATTGCCACAGGCGATATTTAAATCGCAATTACATTAAATCGAAAGCAATTTACGGAAATACCCAACACGTTAATGTGTGAAGGTAGACTTATCTATGTCGTTGTGGAGGGTCTTCGACCACTTTGTTGGGCTTGTGGATCTGCGGGACATTTGTCGAAGGCTGGCCCAGGTCAAAATCCTGCCCCACACCCCAAAAGGAAAAATGAATCAGCAACATCACAGGCAACAGCACAGGCAACCAAGAAAACAGGAGAATGGACGTAAGTCGTCAAGAAGGGACCCAAAAGTACCACCACTTCCCTTCAGCAGCAGAATGAGAATCCCCAACCAGAGCCAGAGTACCAGCAAGTAAAAATGCAGAAGATGCCCCCACTTTGGACGTCTTCACTGAAGAGAAGAAGAAGAAGAAGAAGAAGAAGAAGAAGAAGAAGAAGAAGAAGAAGAAAAGGGGGGAAAAATAAAGAAAAATGACGAGCGAAATGAAGCCAACAAAGACTCTGCCAAAACCAAGGCCCAATCAGCCCCGGCTTCACCAGTCAAGAAGCCTGAAGAAAATACCACAAGAAGCCTTCCTACTTCATCTCTGAAAGCACCACTCTCCCCCATTCGCAATACATCTCATCAAGCATCCCCTCCCAATACCATTGCAGCCGATGACATTTCCACTCCTCCCAACACCCCACTTTCCACGAGCACAATGCCTAGTAAATGCTAAACGCGCTGCACCTCCCAGCAGAATTCTGCTTCTCATAAGAAGAAATTCCCGAGTCGGGTAATGTCTTGCTGTGTGGACAAGGAGTCAATAGAAGCGGGCATGTCGAAGCAAAAAAGAGCTTTTTGAAGCCCTTGTTAAAGATGGCGTCAGTAGACGGACTTCCTACAGATGATCTCCGAAATTTCCCCAAGGCCGCCGGCGTAATAACATGGATAAAGAGCACAGAGCGAAATCTAATAGCGTGGGATCACCTTCACGAGGCGAAGGATGCCTGTCCGGAGATCCGTATGGCGGAAATAGGAACTGAGAAAAATACAGAAATTAAAACTAACGTACCCGTCGGACGTTGGCGGTATTGTCCGAGATGGTCGTATGACGACAGAGATGGGGACAGGGAACCTTGGACAATCTGTCGGGGTCCTTTCATCTGCAGATTTTCGTCCAGTCTGTGAGTAAGGGAATCAACTTGAAAAATGTCTCTCAAGATAGCTAGTTTGAATGCGATTCACTACGCACTTTGCTTGCTGATGCGCGTGTGCTGTCTAGCGACTATGTTGTCTATTCAGCATACGTGGACCAGCCGGCCAGAGGTGTTTCCTTGTTAGTTAAACGTACCCTGGATGCGAGGATGCCTTGTTCACGTCGATAGGGGTGGGACGGTTGATCGTGGCTGATATTGCCGTGAACAGTAGTTCGTTTCGGATCGTTGCGGTTTATGCGCCCAACGATCAGGGGAGCAGTTGGAGCCGTTCCTGGTCGATTCTTCGCGCTTAGTCTTAGTGCGGGAT